CTCAGATTCGCATCTCAAACTGCTTGATCTGAAACCCATAGTTGAGACGTAAGCCACAACCCCGGCATTGACACACGGTCATCAGCGAACATGATGCGCATGATAGCATTCCAAATTATGATAGCAAGTGCGGGTTATGATTTACATGCTTTCGAGAAGCGCGATCGCATATCGCGTGTCGAAGATGCGATGGCCAACCCAGGTACAGTTATTTGACATTAGATGACGGGTGTCATGCCTTGAGAGATAGACGTAGGAGATAATAAATGGGTATTTCGAGAACCAAGCGCAAAATGCAGTTCTGGTCTCGAAGACCGTAGTCTACTAAGACATGCAAAGTGTGAAGGAGATATCTGGCAAGGTTGTGTCGCACAGAAAGAAGCAACGATTATGTATAGAAGAGAATAGATGCAATGCATGGATGTAAATAAGCAAAAGCATATGACGGTACCGCCGGTGATGTACAAAGGAGAGGATGTAGTGATGAGTAAAACAAAGACCAATGAAAATGCGCCCCTTCCGACTCTGCCTGGGTATCGTTTCCTTCTCTTTCACTCCCTACACCCTTGTTGTGTATCCGGAACGCTGGCCGACTCTTTCTCAATGCCGTCCATATCAACTCAAATCTCCAACAGCTCACTGGATAATGTGATACCAGCCCGAGCCGTCTCTTTCCCAACGCCACCGCAATGCTGGACTCGCTTGGAATGTGTCGCGCGTCGAAGGAATAATCGTTCGTAGCCTCCAAAGTATGCAGGTAATTTGTAAAGGAGTGTGTATTGGAAGAGGAAGGGCATACCGGTGGCCCAAATCGTGGTACGTCGTAAAGGAAATGTGTTTAGTGATTAGAAGGCTGGTGTGTGCCCCAGAAGAGATATTGCAAATGCCGAAATCGATCGCAGAAAGGCAGATTTGTGTCCAGCACAAACCCCGCGATACTGCCCACCTCCGCATACGCTCATGCTCGCTGTTCATATTTTTGTTCTCACCATGCACGCAAGCCCTCGAACTGGCCAGCCAGCCCATCGCAGTTAGAGTCGGCCAGTCATTGGTAACTTGCGCCGGGATCGCTGGGACCAGCTGCCATTTGAGACGAGGAATAGGCAACCTGGTGTTGATGTTGTCGATGTTGTGATTCTTCCTCCTCCTCTTCCTGCGCAGCCAACTCCACAGCCTCAAGTTGCTCGGCCTTGTCCTTGCACGCGGTAGGCGAGAAGCCACTGCCAACCTTGGATGAAATGATGCGCCATCGATCGTTCTCGTACTCCTGCATAGCGTTGCGAAGCTTTACCACCTGTATTGCCGGTTATGGTTAGCATGTCGGAGATTGTGGATGCGATGCACGACGTCGCGCGTTTCATGACTAGGGTAGCGACTTACCATCTCATCCGTCCAGACAGTGGTCTTTGCTTTGAGCTTCGTGCAATATCGTACTTGGAGTGTGCCAGAACTGCGGCCAGGGAAGAAGTCGGCGATTTGCTTCCAGGTGAGATTTTTCTTCTCTTTGAGGTCGACGAGTAACTGGTCGTCCTCGGGCGTGAACTTGAGCTTTGGGCCGCGGGGTCGTTGCGCTGGCGGGGGCATCCCTTCTTGACCTACTACGCTAGGAGGGCCATGGTGTTGAGCGGGAGAGGGAGGTGCGCCCTCCATCGGGTGATGTCTCTTACTGCGATGAGTATTTGGTAGATGGTGGTGATGTGTGGGAGGTAAAGAGGACTGCGGAGCTGGCGGCGGATACTGTTGAAGGGAGTAACCCTGGGTCGCGTGCTGTAGTGAGACGCTTCCCGTTGCTTGTGCGTAGGGATTGAGCTGCTGCTCTAAGCTCGGAGGCAGTTCGTGCTGCAAATCGTCCTGGTGGCTGCGCTTGCGTCCGGCGGTCTGCTGGGGCGGCGGTGGGTAGCCCACGTTGTAGGAGGATGGAGAGTGTTGCGACATGGAGTGATGGCGCAAAAGATGGGGTTGATGTAATGAATGTGTGTCGATGTCTGTGTAGGTAGGATGGTGGCCGGCGCCGGCATGTTGGAGCGTTTGAGACTGGTGTGGCTGCAGGAAGGAGTGAGGGTGGTATCCCGGAGGCAATCCGGTATGGGAATGGAGGACATTTTGATGTTCGACGTTTGAGGTCGGTATGTGATGTTCTTCCCCGGCATCGCCTGGTACGCTGTAGTCGAGGAAAGGGCCTCGATAGGGACTCGCCAGTGTTGCGATCACGCATGGAGACTACCAGAGCTAGGTTGCTCTGGCAGGCCGCCGCAGTGAGACCTGAGCCAGAAAAAGGATGCCTGGTTTGAGTTGGTGTTCAGAGTTGCGATGGCTGTATCGCACGCGTTTGGGTATTTCGAATTTTGTTATATTGACAAATGTTGGAGCAAGAAAGGCCTAGGGGAACGCGCCATCGGTCGAGGTCTTATCGCGTGTGTTAAGCGTCTGGGTTGTCGAATATAGGTTGTAGCCGTGTAGGGAACAAACGAAAAGTACTTATGGCTGGGGATGCTCGTGGAATATAAGATTCCTGCCTGATGGGAGAAGGCATTAAAAATCTCGGGCAGTAGGTCCCTTCAAAAGCCCGGTCCGTCTTGTGCGATTGCCACACGGACACAGGATCCAAGCATGTACAGTAATGGGTCGTCCCCACGAGACGCTCTGTTCCTGAGGAGCACCAAATGAGCTTAGTAGGGAAGGCCCAGGAACTGATTCTACGTCAAGCATAATGCGGTGATCAATGACAAGGAGGGGTCCCCCGGCATGCGATCTGGACGAGTACAATAATGCCAGGCCCGGGTCGTGAGTGGCTGCTGATGCAAAATGAGATGGGCATGAGGTACTGTGCCCGGCTTGCGAGGGTCGGTGGGGCCCGGGGCGTGCGCGGTCCATGCCATCGTCGTTTATTTCTAGAATGCCACCAGAAAGATCTCCAACGCCGTTGCAGGCGCTGCAGGAGGGATCCTGGCGCGGCGTGGTGGCCAGGAGATATGCATTGAAGACGTTCTGAACCGGCTAGCAACACGGCAGGGGCTCGAGGCGATTCCCCGAAGAGGCAGCGCCACGAGCGAGCGCCGTCTGCCAGATTGATGAGACACAGTCTACCAGACACGGAGCCAGGAGCGCGGGAGAGGTGCTCGGGTCATGCTCGGAGGCGACTGCTTCCAAACGGCCTGTCAGAAGGGTGCTGTGACAATGATGGCATTTTTTTCATGGCATCTCAATGGCATACACGCCCTGTGCCTCAGTCGACGGCACTTCATGCCTGGAAGAGCCTTACCCGGGCTCAGGGCCCCATGAAGCATGATGCTGCTGGCGAAGAAGCGGTACTCGGATCAGGGCAGGACAGCTGCCTCTGCCGGCATTTACGCAGCCGTAGCACCCGCCTGTAAGCAGTGGGACCGAGCGATGGCAGGGCTCTCGGTCATGGTTCTCTAACGCATAGGCATGACGGCCTCAGATTGGCTCATGCGTGGGCCGTTTCAAGGTATAGAGTCAGACCCTGCCCTATATGCGCTTCGTCACCCCCCGTGAGTTGGGATCTACCAGCCACAGAAATATCCCGACGCCCGCATTGGATGACGCACTTCGGCATGCTGCAGATGCAGCGGGTGTACGGAGTGCTGGTGGCAAGTAGAGATGGGCACTGCAAAAGAGTCTACCTGAGACAGCAGCCAGGTGTTGGAGGAGGGCGAATGCGTGAGGCGTTGTGGGGGAAAGGAGCAAGCGAGGTCGACAGCGGGCTCGCCTGAGTAGCGAGTTCCCGATTTTAGCGTCGAGGTCGAATCGCAGCCGGCCGCGATCTTCTGGCCCGCAAGCCTCGCATACAGGTCATCTCTCGACTGCATGGGCGAGATGAGGCATCGTGACTCCAGTGCGTCGTGCCGCTGTCTACACGGTCGCCCTATGTACGCCACGACGGATGCGCTCTCCGAAGAGGCAACCGCATCCTCCTGGCGCGCCCTCACCACCAACCGCTCTCACGTGACAGCCTACACGACCGACGCGCTCCCCGGCTGGTGGCTGGGATCTCCCTGCATCTGCAGCCCCCGCTATGACCTCACCGCCGTCGCCATGTACGACTTTCAGGCCTAGCGATAGTCTGCCAATCTTCAAGTACTCGACCAACGGCGCATTATCCATTTAGGCTGATGCACGCCATTGCAAACTATAGGCTCGCGGAACTGCACGATGCAGCCCTCACCACGCTCCGTCCAACAGACCGCGCACTTCACCGCAGCCACGCCGCCATGTCATCTGGCCTGCTTCGTGAGCGGAGCGCGTGCAGCGCATGTACAAGGTGAGTAGAAGCGTTGCGTCGCATTGTGGGCGACCAAGTTTCTCCGACGCGCAATCTACTGTCAACGTTACGGCACGGCTTCTTGCAAGCGCGTCGCGACCACATCTTGCGCCCGTTAATATGGTTCGGTAGCATAGCCGGAGCGTTCGTCTGGGACTCTGGGTAACTCATGCCGTTACACGTGGGCGTCGCAACTAAGATCGCCCCAACGACACCGTTAATCGCACGAAAGAGAAAACAGCGATCATCCTATGCGCCATTATTGCTACACTGACGGCAAAGCCGCGTCGTCCATGGGTGCTACAAATAGCCAGGCGGTTTCTGCAGATCTGCGTGCGGCAGTAGGTGAGGCGGAACGTTGAGGTGTGGTGTGGCGAGGGGTTGAAACTTTCAACGAACCGCTGCTGCAGGCTACCGAAACCAACTCTTCCAACTGTTCGTTGACGTGAAACGATGACACAAGCAAGATCGGCCAATGGCCGCTTCGACAGGCAAGACTTTTGGATGCTCCCCCCCACATGCGACAGTCCGTTATGGCATGGATACATTGCCGACTATTGCTACGTAAAGACATTCGATATTATCTCCAGGATGGAAGCTCCTTCGCAGGACTACTACCAAATCCTGTAGCGAAAAGATAACCGGAGACAAACACAATAACATTGGTCAGCGTTGCCGAAAACTGCTAAGCATCTTTTGGAGAGAAGGCGACTAATGCCTTGTATACTCCGCTGCCAAGAACCACGCCCGCAAACACCAAGAAGGACGAACGGATGCCCACAGCACTTTTGCGCATGCGATGCTCGATCAAGATAGGAAAGCTGGTATCATAAGCGGGCCCCACCGCGCTAATTCCGGAAAGATGCAGACTGTGATCATAAGTGTCCTTCAGTACTTGCCGCCAAAATTCTCCTTTGCGTACTGCTCGCATGCCTGGTGCACGTCAGCACAAGCCCGTCTACACGAAGACTACGTGCGGAAACGGTCAAGACATACTTTTGCAGGCTTGCCGACCTTCTGACCGATGACCTTCCATTTGTTGGCATCGTATTCTTTGATGGCGGCAAGCAGCGCAGCGCTCTTCTTACTCATCAGCACACTCTCGAAGAGACGGAGATATAGCCTCTAACTCACTTCATCCTCAGCGAACTCGGCATAGTGCATGTCCTTGAAGGTCAGTGAGAGGGTCCGCAGTGGAACAGTACTGGTCGCATGCCCACCTTGTACCAATGTTTCTTTACACTCCCTTCTGTCCGCTGCGGGAACGTCTACCAAAGGCCAAGTCAGCTAACTGTTCTTCGGGAACACGGCAGCTGTCTGATCCGCCAGGCGCTCTCCTCACCTTTGCGATCTCGCTCCAGCTGTTTCCCGCATCTCTCATTTGTTTCAATCGCAATTCCTCAGCTGGCGTCCAAGGCGTATTTGTCCGACTCTTCTTAGTCTTAGGCTCCTGCGCAGCATCAATGTCAGCCGTCGGTGGCAACACAGCACTGCTCGCTTGCGGCTCTGCACTATCTGCAGTACTCGCCATCTGATCTTGAGGCCGCCCAAGGGTTACAGACTTGCGCTTTCGGCTCGTAGGAGATGGTAGTGGCGGTTGAGCGCCAGTGTGAGCCTCTGGATTCGCCGTGGTGAATGACGCCGCTGGCTGTAGACTGGGCAGCTCTGGCGGCCCAGAGTACTGAACGTTCGGTTGGGGGTTCGCTGCAATGGGCGACGGTTTCAGGCTACGCTTGGTGGAGGGTGAGGAGCTGTCAGGGGCCACAACGTCAGCGCGCGCGGCAAGGTACCAAGTCGAGTAGGGGAAGTATCTCAGAGTCGCAGAACGGGGACAAGACGAGACGGATATAGTGGAAAGACTCACGACATGGCGGCAGACGGGGCGATAAGACCTAAGCCAGGCAGGCGGCAGCACGAGACAGCTTCACTGGGGAGAGCAGGATGCGCCTATAGAGTGTAGTGTCATGCTCGTATATTACAGCTTCAGGACCACTTTCAGAGGGTACGACGGCCAGACTGGAGGCAGTAGATCATCATGATATCCAAGGAAGCAGATGGCCTGTCGGTGCGAGCGCTGATCAAGTACAAGGGATACAAAGAGGGTCAGGTTGGCAGCAGATGGGCGAATAGGAGGATGGCATAGGCATCATGGTGGAGGACGAGGGCGACGCTGTGAGGTTAAGTGGCCGAATGCTAGCGGGGGTCGGCGCCCAAGATGGGGAGGGCAAGTACTAGTACTTGCCCGCTAGTGAATGGAAGGCGGTGGTCGAGGTATAGATACGCGGGGACGCGCTGCAGACAAGAAGCGGGGTAACAGGCTCTAGGGCCCGGCTCTGATGAACAGGTGGCTTTGAGGTTACGAGGACAGCGCGACGAGTGCTTAGAGGGCAGCGGAGGTAGAGTGCGCAGCGCGTGACTGCTCCATGCGTGTCCAGCTTCATGCGAGTGATGCGGAGCGCCCCCGATCGGGTGTCGCGACATGATGACTGTGTATACAGACAGCCACGGCGCTGGCGGAGTAGTGGGAGAGACAAGTGCATGCTGTCATGAGTGTCATGGCGATGCCCATGCCGGGGCGGGTCGAGTGACTCCAGATCATGTCACCGTCGAGTCGCTACCAGGCCAGATGGCGTGCCGTAGTGGTGACGGAGTTGCTGGCAGCTGGAGCGGGGCAGCGTGCATGGACCGGCCGCTCTTTCCTCGAGTGGTGCTCGTGCCTTCCAACCTCATCATCGGTCAACAACACAGCGGGAGGTCGCCATGGCCATGGCGAGAGTCGCACAAACACGACCACGTCAGGCGGCTCCTCTGCTCGATAATCTATCTCACAACCTGCCGCTTGACCGCCAATGGCGCCCTCACCACCGCAGAAATTGTGCTGCGATTTAGCCCGGCCTCAGTCGTCGCCGAGTGCGAGCCATCCCTGTCTTCTCCACACGGCCACTGCAGCAGCGGCTTGCAACGATGGTACCAAACAAGGACGTCTTGCGCTCATCAGCAACACCGCTGGGCGCGGGGAAGAAGACTAAGGTAATCGATATGGTGCTGCCGGACCGTCCTGAGTACTTTGCTCGCCATGGGCCTGGATGCCTTTTCAACCCAGGCTCCGCTCCGCATTCAAGCCAAGCTCTTTCTCCAGCCGCCTGACGCAGCGCCAGTATCACTGCAAGCCACAAGCGTTTGATCAGAACCGCTCTGCCACAGCCTTACCACTTACGACCTATAGCAGCACACATGGCCTGCCAAGCGCTTCGGCCTTACGAGTTGCCTGACGTGTTGATGCTGTAGGCGGAACACGACCCATCCGAACGTACTCGTTTCGCCTGTCTCACAGCGTCGTCATCTGCACTCTTGTGTGTTGCGGATCATCTCCACTCACCGTCTGCTCGGCCCTATTCACATGGAGCAGATTCGTAGCAAAGTGTCTGAGGAATCGTCGTTGAAAAGTGCTTCAAAGCTCGTTGCCAATGTTGTTTGTCTCTGCAATGGGCGACCGCCGGCGCACAGTCCCCCCCGCAGCCTGTCACAGCACGTTCTGCGTTAGCGCCCGCCGTCGCTTCGGCACTGGTCGCTGCTTGTTTCCAGCTTTCCAAACATTGTCAAACCTCGCGCTCCGTCAAAACTGCACCAAGTCCGACGCGCGCGGTTTTGAAACTGCCCCCGTGGGTCCCGATGAGGCTGAGGACCTTATGCATCCCGCTCTAGATCTTCAGAGCCCCAGGCAGCGATTTCGTATGCGTCTTCATGTCCGTTCCACTTCCGGCTTAACATGTCTCGTGTCAAGGTTCTTCTAAACATTTTGGCTGCGAACACCGTCTTTGCCCCATGATGCCGATCAGGAATCGAGTTGCAGAAGCGACGGTTTGAAAACGTTGCCAATCTCAGAAACTGCCACTGCTAATCGACTTGGTCTGTGACCACTGACCGACCCGTTTCTTGACCTCTGTCCAAACTCTATAACTGCCCGGGTGCCCCAAGTTTCGAGGCTTCAACCGCATCTGTTCAATCGGCATCTGTCTTTTGTTTTTTAGCAGCCTTGTAATACTCTCTTTTACTTCCCACTGGTTTGGGCTGCACTACATTCACTTAATCAACTTTACCAACATTGCTGAGCAATTACTTTTTTACCGACACACCGTGTAATACTTTCTTTTCAGAGCCAGCCTCGATCACGACGAACAGACATCCCTAGTGGACACGAATCAACGACTTCTTCTACGCCAAGTACTCCAATCAGCAACATCAACATCAACACCAACATACTATCAGCTCAGCACCACAACGATTACAACATGCTTCACCACCAGCCCCAGATTCTCTCCCCTCTTCCTGAGATGAACTCTCAGTCCCCTGACCCTTCCAGCCTTCGCGCTCGGAAGATGTCAGCCGGTGGTAACAGGTCTTGGTCCGAAGAAGAGGTATGTCAACCATCTTGTACTTATCACCGCCAAACATTTGCTAACAATGCCTAGGAGAACTACCTTCTTCAGACCCGCATGCAGAAGATGCCTTACAAGCACATTGCAGCCCACCTCAAGAAGACTGAGCTTGCATGCCGCCTGCACTACCATCAGCTCTCGCACGGTAGTCACCGCCGCAAGCGCAACAACTCGGTCTCTTCCAACGCTTCTTGCAGCTCTTCCGGTACTGCTCCGGTCTACTCCATGGCCATGGACCAGGATGCCTACTCTCAATCTTCCCGCCACAGCTCGCCCATGAGCTACACTGGCAGTCCCCATGTCCGCGCCAACTCCATCACCACCTCTCCCGGTCGCTCCCAGCACAAGATCCTCCTGCCCAAGCCTCGCACCCTTACTCCCCGTGGATCCCCGGAGCCTTACAACGGTCTCCGTATCAACACCGAAGTGGCCCATCAGCCCAAGGTCGTTGACACTGACCGTCTCCGCTCCATCTACGAAGCCCGCCGCCAACAGTTCTGGGCTACCGTCGCTGCCGACTACGGTGCGGATGTTTCCCCTGCCCAGCTTGAGGAGATCTGGCGCAACGGTTCCAACGCTGTCCGCCCTCCTACTCCTGACGCCTCGCCCGACGGTAGCATCATGCACAACCCCATGTTCAAGCCCTCTCCCTTCCCGAGCTACATCTCGCCGGCCCACAGCGAGCCAGCTAAGCACTACAGCCCCATGAACCCGATGAACATTAGCGCCGTTTCAGCCCCAGAGCGCATGCCTTACGTTCTGCCCATGCCTGTTCCTTCCTCTGGCCGCCCAAGGTCTGGTACGTGGAGCTCTGCGCCCAGGGACAACATGCCCATCGCCAGCCTCCTCAACGACGATAGGAAATAAATGTCCATTATCTTTACATTCCTGTACTTGTTAGATCACATCCTGGGTCGTGGCATTGGGCACGGAATTCGGTATGGCATTGGCAAATGACTCTTTTCCCCTTCTCTACTTTCGTTAATTCGCTATTCAATCAACCCTTTTCTCGTATTACTGTCTTAACGTCCTCGGTGGTATATGTCAAGAGCGGTATGGTTTGCATGGCATATGAGACACTTCTTGTTTCGGATCTTTACTCAGGCGTTCAGCATTTGGAATTTTGGTCTTGGCGCATAGCATCAACGGGGATCTACGCGCTTCACTTATTGAAGAGTTTTTGGGCGTTGTTCTACGCGGTAGATGGTAGCGGTAGTCAATAAAGAAGAATATCCACAATATCTACTCCACATCGTTCATGACAGTTCATCGTGGTATGAACTTTCAACGAGCATACCCTTAACAGCCTCATGTCCTGACATTTCGCTTACGCCTGATGTTTGCCTAATACAGGTGGTTAAGCGAGCATGTCAAACACGACAACCTTCGATCCTTTCCCTTTGGCAAACTTTCTCTTGACCGCAGCATAATATCAAAGGCATGTTAACACACTTGAGTCTTGGGGATGAAGATTTTGGCAAAATCTGGAGTTCAACCACAGCATCAACGACAACGTGACCTTTTCCACCTTTGCACTCGAGCAACCAACACTTTGCGCACAATCAACCTCTTACTCACATTTATCCGTTTACCACCTGATGCTTTTCATATATAGTAAATCTGACAGCGGCAGCCTTGCGATCGAGGCCGCCTATGACAGCCAACGGTGCCGGAACTCTAAGGCACTGAACACCACGGAACTTACCAAGCGAAAGCGAACGCGCATCGGAACCATCTGTCTTTTTCACTAGCATACCGTTGCAATCGTCGGATGACTTCCTTCTTTGCCGCTGCCGTTGTCGCTGCCGGTACCTGTGCGGTGAACCTGACTCGCTGCGTGTTTGGTAGGTGAAACGTTTGGTACCGCACTAGTTGGCTTTGCGCGGCACAACGGTTTGGTAACGACGGGTGGGCGTCAGGTTGACCTGACAAGATCGTGTGTGCGTGTAGGTGGCGATTCTCGCTTTGGCGATATTCGTATACCTGGTGCTCGGAGTGCGAAACGGTAGAGTATAAGATTGACGTAATGTGGTTGTTTTTGCACACGTGAGCAGGGGTGCAATACACGCGTGTCGTCTCTGGCGACCTGCATATAGACAGCCTCGTCATAGACCGGAGTAGGACCATGAGAATTCCAAATCAATCGTCTTACTAAGAACGCGACGGGTTTGCGAGAGACGAAAAAAATCGGCACGCCATGTTCCTATTCTTGTGCTGCTGACGCTTGACCCATGTCAGCCCTGCGCATCTCCCGCCCATCCCGCGAACATCGTTTGACTCGCATCCCACCGATCCTAACGCGCAACGCCACAGCCCGTCCATCCGTCCAACTAAACAGCATCCCAGTCATCTACAGTACCAGTGCTCTGTTGCTAATTTCCCGATATTCATGCCTTGCTGCCTTACCCTTCCTCCATGATCCCTTTACTGTGCCCCCCCCCCCCCCCTGTAAACACGCCATCTCATCGACCAGAGATCCTCCTCATCCCCACCACTCCCCCTAGCTTGGAACCAAGCGAGTCAATTTCCATGTCCCCGGTCAGCGCATATGCCGAAGTCCTAATGCAGATCTACGCTCCGGCAAGTGTCAGGGATGTACGTTGGAATCCGGTCCAGTGGAGTCGTCAGGGTCGCGTTGGCGGTATTCATGCGAACTGGGTTTGAGACCTGGTGGGGATCTGTGAGCGCCTTAGTTTCGAGGCGCATAATTGTGGCGTGTGAGCGATGGATGCGTGCGATGGATTCACATGCCTTGTAGGGCTGATAGAATCTGTGTATGCATGGCTGAGGGGGAAGATGACGTCGCAGGCTGAAGCCGTGGGTTCGGTCATATCCGCGACATGCATGAGTGAAGGGTTCTGGAAATGTGACCGAAGGTTTGGTGGTGCATAAGGCGATAGGAAAGCCTGCGTCGGTGTAGTCGCCTAATGCGTGTGTAACGCGTGACTGCTAAAGGGTTGTGTCGGACCGTGGAGACGTTGGGTCAGCTGACTCTCGTGACTGTCACAACGTAATCGTTGTGGCTGTCTGGGGTGATGTTTGGCCGACAGTATTCCCGAGAGGACCACGGCTGCACTGTGCTTGCGGCCCTTCTTCATCAGGGGTTGGACTCCGCGACTGTCTCTCCCGCCCCTTCCTGACCAGCCTCGTTGTCCGGTTGCGACCCTCTCCTGTCCTCTGGATCTTGGTCACCCTTTCCACCTTTCTGTTGTTGTTCGCCACTTGACTCAATGTCATTTCTCAGCTCTGCCTCTTCTTGTGCGTTATCTGTGCCTCTCGCGCTGTACTCTTGATCCATACGATGCATGAGCTCTTCGCCGGGTAGAAGAATGCTTCTGTCGATCGCCAAAGGCAGTCCACGATGTCTACCCCGTAGCATCGCAGCCATCAGAACGACTTTGCTTAAGCTTGCAAAGTCGCCACACAGGCTGGTGTTCTTGCCTGGTACACCCAGGCTCAAGCCGACAGTGCCATATGCCGATGTGACTTCGAATAATATCGAGAAGACGCTGAATCCAGGAGCTGCGTTCAGTATATGACCTCGCTCAATGATACATATAAGAAAGAAGACAAAGAACTGAAACCAGATGTCGTAGGCGAGCTGCTTCTGCAGATGAGATGCTACGCCTGCGGCACTGCTGTCATTCTCTTCCAGTCCGATCGATTTCTCTTCGTACGTGTTCGTCTTCCGCAGTACCAACGTCATGGGGTAGATCGAGATGTACATGATGACTAGATACGCCACCAAACATGCAGGTGCGAGCGAACTCATGTTGATGATGTATGCGCCGCTAGTACGTAATCCGCTGGCCATGAAGAGTCCATCTACTACTCTAGCGCCAGTGGATAGAGCTTCGACATCTGGCATGCCGATGTTCAATATCTCGAAGCAAAGCCAGGCTGTGATGTCGATGCCCAGCTGAACAAGAAACAGGTACACTGTCTCGCGCTTGGGGAAAAGGTAGATGAAACAACGTCGCGGATGCTGTAGAAGGAATTGCATCGTGTTCCTGATACGAGACTCTTTTGGCAGTAACTTCTTCAATACCCATATCGTGATGCGGAGCAAAATCGGGAACTGCGTCTGACCAGCGAACGCCAAACATGCAGCCACAAGCAAAACATACGCATTTCCGCTGAAGGGAATGAAATTAGCATTGAGTACGTTGAGTCCACCGTTGGAGAATTCCGTCACTGTCGCAAAATATGCCCACCATCCTGGGTTGATGGCACCTGGTTGCTCTTGATACAGTGTGCTCTTGGTATCGTCACGGTACGCATACGGTATCAGGAAAGTGATACCAAGCAAATACCAGAAGATCTGGTAGCCGACCAGGATAAGCAACAGAGCTTGAAGTGCACGATACTCCACACCCCCAAGTTCCATGCGATCTTGCTCACTGAGCTCGCGGAATCGACCCTTGGAGTCGAGATGCGGCTTGAAAGAGACGTAGTCGTGTTTCTCGGGTTTCAACTCTGTCGAAAAGCGGTCCAGAATGCGGCTGAAGAAATTGCGTGCGGACTTGATCTCCCAAGGTGTTGGTATGAAGCCAAACCCGGTCTCGTAGTGATATGTGCGTCTTCTGGACTTTGGATACATCTTTGCTTGCGGAGGCTCCTCATTCCCTTCTTGTACATTCTTTCCTGTCGGGCTTTGTTTTGCATTCGATCGCTGGCGCAGGCTTCCGGTACTGCTGCTACTTTCGTTTCGATCTGAATGACTGTTCTCGATATCTCTTACGAGTCTTTGCATCGTGTGCGAATGCTTGACGACATCTGCCATCTTTTTCCGGAAGAGTGCTCTTCTGATGAGCACTACAGCTGTCGATACAAATGGTATGTTGCCAATCATTAGCAGCACAGCGAAGGTCGCTTGCTGGAAGCCGGAGAGATCTCCGAGGTCTACCGAATTGAGCCCTGCATCAATTGGTACTCAGCTCACACAAGTCTAGAGGACGGAAGGAGCCACTGACCTGTAGTTGTCATAGCACTGGTGCATAAGAACAGCGCGTCGGTGTACGTCACATGCGCATCTCCATACTCCTTCGGTCCATCAGCAAGACCCTGCCCATAAACAATAACCGACGATATCGCAATAACAACAATGAAATACAGCATATGTGCGCGATAAAAGTTCAACTTGAACACCTCCTCTTTCAAATACTTCAAAAAGTCATTCTTGGCCTGACGCGGGTTGCGCAGCTCCTCAAGGGGGTCGTGCATCTCGCCGTTGTCGTCGAGCGGCAGCCACGACGAGCTCATAACGGCTGCAGTCGCGAAGTATATACTTTGCGGTATTTATCCAAGGCGCGTACCAAGACAAGAATCGATCAACGTGGCAGGTCTGGGTAGCGCAACCTTGTTAGAAAGTAGGCTGTGTTTTGTTACGCTGCCCAGGCATTTTTGCGAGGAATGATGTCACTAGTAAACCTTATCGCGCGTGGGGAACGACGCATCATCGTGGACGCGACAGCATTGATCTTCAGGTCCGCGGTGTTCTCAATTGGCTTACTATACTGACAGGCGAGTAGCTGTTAGATTGTATCTTGTTCTCGTGCCGTTCCGGAGACGGCGTGATAAGATCCTGGATTTGTTTTGCGATGACTTTTGTGCCTAGCGTGTTTACTGGGATTATCCATATCAAGCTACAAATCGGCGCGTACTTGTATGTGTTGTCAGTACCGCCTCCTGCTTTGTATGCTGTGTTCCTTGTAGTGGTCTCGAGATCCCAGGTGATAGGCACAACCTGATTGTGTTTCGGGACGCGTTGTGATCGAAGGACACTTTATTGTGTCGAAACGGTGTTGACCAAGATAAACATACATGCGAACTTCGTAAAGAGGCTGCGTACCCGGCTACATGGACTGGCTCGTCATCGCACTGCGCAAAACAACACACTGGTGTTCTACAACCACGCTAATCCTCATTCTACTCCGAGCACATAACAACGCTCCCCTCCTCAAACACCACACCCTTCTCTCTCATCTTCTTTTCTCCCTCCTTACTAATCACCTTCCCCTCCCCATCAACCCTCTCAAAAACAACACCCACACGACTCAATTTGAGATGACTCCACATCCTCGCCGACTCACTCCACCCACCCAACGCCCCAAAACACGCACTAATCCCCACAATCCGCTCCCCACCCACCGCCTTCCTCACGAACCAATCCCGCATATCCGGCTCGCCGAAGTAACCCACACGACCAGTCTGCGTAACGAGTTTGAGAGCGCGGTATTGCTGCTCGACGTGGACTTCAGTGATGGATTCTTGGTTTAAGGGGAAAATGACGGTGTTGTGTTGGTCGGAGCTGCCTAACGGACGGGGTTTCTGCTTTTGGATGTCTTCCCATGCTGCCTTGAGGGATTCTCGGAGAGGCCAAGTCATTTCGTGCGCCCATCTGGGGGATTGACATAGAACGGGTCCGCGATGGCCGACGCCGCGGCCGCGACCACCGAACTGGTTATGAGGAGCGGGGTTGATGCCGACGATATCAATACCAGTGTGAAGTTGGTAGAGAGGTAGCGACGTGTCGGTTTCAAGATGGGAGCTGGGTAGAACGGTGGATGCGGGTGTCGTGTTGATCGATCCCATGGATTCTTCGGTGGGTTTTGCTGTCGGTGTCGGATCGTGAGGCATGGAAATGCTCGTCGCAGTGGGCTGGAAGCATTCGATAGCAGTGTTGTCCTTGCTCCACATGAAAACGTCGTTAGGCATCATATCCTCGGGGAGTTCGTATGCTATGGGGTGGGTGGAAGCAGGGAAGGGCTCGAAATGGATCGTAGGATGCGACCAGACCGTAGCATGCTTAGGATACTTTTGACGACCGCTCTGATCATCGTAGGGTAGCCATTTCCCTTGCTTTCCCCATGCCATCTGCTGAGCGGATGTATATCGCGGCTGAGAGAGTAGTCCTGAGTCCGGTCTGGAAGCTTGAAGAATACCGAGACGTGAGATTGCGCCACTCTAGTAATGCTGTCAGTAGTGCTTACAGAGTGGAGAAGATGATGGGAGTATTTGGTCACTTACTGAAGCAATTTGACCCGTCATCCCCACCAGATGCATGCCATCCAACACTTGGAAAGGCCTCTCCACACCGCCATAACTCTGTCTCATCATCTTCTTTTTTCCAGTATTCAATGACACCTATATCTAATTAGGGTCGTTATTTCCAGAGAGAGGAAGCCTAACATACCATAATACCAGTGATGGTAGCAGTTTTAGATGGCCTAACATCCTCAGGCGTCCGATCAGCCCCATCCTGGTTCTCCTTCAACATGTCGATGCTTTCGACATAGCAGACGATCTCCTTGATCCACTCCCCACGATCGAGATGAAATGGACGTCCAGTGGTTCCCTCAGAGCTGCCAAACAATCTTGTTTGGTCACCCAAGGTGATAGAAATTCCCACTAGGTAGTCGGGGCAGTTGTAAACCTCCCGCCAGTATGTGTCCAAGACGCAGGCACGATGCGTAAGCTCACTCCAGGAGTGGACGAACTGTGCGGAGACGGCCTCGGCCTCGGCTGGTGAGGGATACATGGTCGTGGGCATGTGTAAGCATAGAGAGCTGTCTAGAATCGCTTTTGCTTCCTCCGAGTCTGCCGGTTCAGCGGGCTCGACCGGCCCAGTCGTTTTCTTGTAGAGTGAGGCCACGGGCTGGCAGCAGCCCCAGATCCGACGTCGATTTGCTATATGCATGAGCGGTCCCTGGTTGCCGTATCTGGGAAGAGTTGATGCATTCACCCAGAGAAAGAGACCTTTATAGTCGAGCGCATCGGTGGTAGCAGTCTCAACAAAGTAACGCAGCTCGTAAAACCATGGCAGGATACGCAAGCGCAGCATATGTTTCCAGAATGCAGCTTCGCGAGTGACGCTATTGACGTGATACGAAGCTTGCATCAATGAAATCATGTCTTTCGAGTCAACATAGCCAAGGACTTCAAGGAGCAAGTCGTATGGAAGGACTGTGATAGGATCACTACGCACCTTGTGCGCCAGATCTGCCACCTGAGGAGTCCCATCGAAGATATTGGCGGGTAGGATGTCTTGTATGCTTTCCTGGAGAACAGGTCGGGGGGAAGGGTCGCACACTTCATACTCGGCTCCCGGATTATTGGCCCAAAATTGGTCATGACCGGACGAAAGCTGATAGTCCACGTCCAGAACTGGTGTTGCGTCGACCAGAAGAGCGCTAAGCGTCCTCCACATTACGTGCTTGTCAATGTCTCTGCCCTTCTCAAGTCCTATGCTCTTCGCAAGAATGTCAAAGCATGCCTCATGAAATGGAAAAGCCTGGTTGCCCTCACCCCCGGTGTAAGTTGTAAGGTTCAGGGCATCTTCACCCGGATCATTTGGATCTCTTCCAGGTCCCTTGATATCAAGAAAGCCATAGTCGTCGTATCGGCCTCGTCCGGATATGTAGGCTTTCCTCTTGTGATTTATCGCCAGTGCGCGGACCCGATTGATCCATCTGACGTCGTCTAGTCGGAGGAGTCTAGGATCAAAACTGTTTTCCTCGGTGTTCTCGGTACTGGCATAGTTGTCAACATCCCAGTCTTCGCGAATGTCCAACTCGGGATCTTGCGACCAACTTCCATCATCGACTTCTTCCATAGGCTCAGGCTCGGGAGTACGAGGCCGAAGAGCGACGTCAAGAATCTCGGATGATCTCGCAAGTAAGTCGGAGTCGTTGCTATCGACAGATTCTGTGTCTTCAGAAGAAGAGTCTGAAGAATATTCATAATCCGAATCTGCATCGTCTTCCTCCTGTTCTTGCTGCTCAATGCGTTGCTTCTCCACTGCTTCAGGGTCGATCGCATCTTCCATCTCTTCGTCTTCATCTTCACTCTCAATGTATCCGCGTCCCAACTTCTTCCCAGAACGTCTCCCCATTCTTCTGTCAATTACACGATCTCTCTTACGCAAAGACTTGCCATTTCTCGATCCAATCGTGATGGCGCCAATGTTCATGCAGACAGAGCATAAGATACAGTAACAATCGAAGGAACCCATGATGAATGATCGGAGATAAATGACAGACAAGCTGGTATCAGAATAGAAGGTTAGAATTCGAGCTCTTATGGAAAGAAGTTTGTAGAGTATCTTGGGCGAAATGGTGGGATCATGGGGTTTTGGCATTAGGCATGCACCCGTTAGCGCAAGGCCACCAACCCCACTTTGACCGAGAACGTGGCTGCAGCCTTGCCGCCCCCGGACAGTTTTAGGCATTACAAGGCAACACCGCTGGCGAACTGAGTTCATTGCGCAGGTCAGCATAGAATAGTACTTTCCAGAAATGCATTCAATGCCAAAATCCATTCAACCACAAAACATTACCAGGCTAGAGACAAGTGATAACAAAGGCCGCAATTGGGTAATTTATGATGGGATGCATGTTGAAAAGCACCCACCGCCGCAGCGTTTCTTGGATTCTTTCAATTCGAGAACTCTATAGATAGGATCGTGAGCCTTGACCCCGGATGACAAAAAGGGAGAAGATACCATATTTTGGTAGTAGGTATCGATAGCGGAGCAACGAGCGCTCGGAAAAGGAACTCACGATTGCGCATCATGGAACTCATCGTCCTCCTGTGTCTCACTATCGGTCCTCCGTAGGAGATCGTCCTTTCGTGGCTCTGGTTCGGGGTTGGAATTAAGAAGTTTGCTAGGTGGCAGTTCCCTGGCGATCACTTCCCGGTTCTCGGGGGAAATGAGAGTGGGCTGCGACTGGGGCTTTTGGAAAGGTAGTGTGGGTGGGTTGCTAGGATCGTTGGGGAGGCTGCTGTTTTTGGAAAGCGGGGCATGAGTCGATGTTCCGTCGAAGTTGCTGGGAAGACCTACGCTCTGCTGTTCGTGTTGTGTCATGCCTACTGGTTGCGACTGCACGCTTGTAGGCTCGGAGGGTACAGGCTGCAACGTTTCCGTAGACTGTGCTGACTGTCCAACTGGCATTTGTTCCATTGGTTGCACAGCTTCTTGTGCCTGCGGTAGATGCGCTTCACTCGCTCGCGATGGAATGTTGAATTGTTTGTCTGGCTTCTGGCCTGGGAGGATAGCGTAGATCTGCAGAATCTGCTTGACGACCTCATCAGGTGTCTTGCCGTCACTACATCATGTTAGTGCGAAACACATACAAAGGGCTTGCGAAATACTGACATCTTTGCATTGATGATCCAGTCGAGGTCTTCTTCGCCCTCTTCGCTTCCACCACTGCCGCCTTTTACGCGTCTGAAGAGCTGTGGGTGCCAGTCCACACCCTCGCTGTTTCTTTTCGCAGCCTCCTGCCTTTGCATATCTTCAATCTTAGCCTTGGCATCAGTCGCTACGTCCTGGTCTCTCCGCTTCACAGCCTCGGTCACATCATGCCATAGCTTTTGCGATTCTCGGTCGTTCTGTTCTTCGAGAGGCCGAGCCGACGGTGGGGTATGTTTGGTATGTGCTGCATCGAACAGGAGCTCCTTCTTGCCAGTCTACAAATGGTCAGTAAATGTTTGGGCCTTGCAAGAGTGAGAGCGTTACTGTCAGGTCTTTGATGTACATCTCCTCGTTCCACTGACCCGAGAGCTCGTACAGGTTCTTGCCGCTGGAGTCTTTGATGTAGCCACCGATCGCGTTGTAGGATCCACTGAAGTAACCCTTGGTCTTGAATTCGAGATCGGCAGTGAGTCCTGTCTCTGGGCAGCGGATATATGCGTGGTCGCCGAGCTCGTACTTCATCGTGCCGAAGAGGATGCCGCGCGCATACATGTTGGGTTGTGTGACGAAACTACCTGTCGTGAGTCTCAAGCTGCAGTGTTCATGCGTCTGACTTACAATCGCTCGCCGGTGTTCAGTAGTCGCAGAACTGCGATGCCCTCCATCATACTCGCCGCAGAGTTACCAAGGAACTTGCTTCGAGGCTTGAGAGTGCCGTCTATGCGGATGTTGTGCTCGGGGGCCATGAAGAAGTAGCTCGACTTGGGCGGGTGGTGCGACGTCTGTTCGGAGATGTAGTAGCCCTTGGTGCCGTCCGGGTAGTCCCAGTAGCCTGTGAATACTTCACCCAGGATGGGGTTGAGCGGCTTTTTGACTCCCCTAAGTCACATCAGTTGTTGCTTGTGGGCGCGAGAAGACGACGGATATGCATACGGGGGCTTGATGTGCCAACCACTCAGGTAGAACTTTGTCACTGCTACGAATCGCTGTACGGGGTCTTCCACCGTGGTTATAGGGAGAAGCGTCTCCGGATGTGCCATGAAGCTGCCCAACAGTCAGCCTATGCACTGGTCGTCATGCCTAAGATGCGCTACACACTTTGTTATGCGTTCCAGCATCGATCGCGGTTCGAGGATGAAGGTGGGAAGCGTGACGCGGCTCAGGTCGGCGCCAGGTCGCAGTTGAGATATGATGTGGGAGAGCATGCTGCCCTGCTCGGAATCCATGACGGTCTCGTCCTCCTTGGTAGTCTCGTCGCCGCCCTCGTGTCGTCGGGTCTCGTCTATGGAAGACCCGCGGCTACCTAAACATTCACACTTGCATCAGCTTCGGTACGGCCGGAATTCGGGATATGACGCACTTGTGAGCGACGACCGCCGGTGTTTGGAGACTATGGGGAGGTGCGGCATGGTGAATACTCGCCGCAAAAGGGAGAGAAAGGGAAAGAAAAGGCAGAAAGAGTGGTGCAGGTGAGGCGGGCAGAAACAGGCAGCGAAGTACCGGCAGAGGATGTCTTGGTGCTTCGGGTGCCGGCGAGGGTGAGCTTAGTCTCAGCAATGACGATGGGGGCTTCACAAAAACTAGCGACCCCGCGCGTTGGACCTGTTTAGCAGCAAACTGTAAACATCAACAACGCTCCACCGTGGAAAGGCGTGCAATGAGGGGTTCAGGGCGCCAGGAGACACAGCATGCAGTCTTTTGAGCATCCAGGTGACTGGCACTAATATAGCGATCGCCAGGCTGTGTTCTGCAAGCCTGCTGCCCCATGCCCCGCAGTCGGCACATGCCAAAGCGCCGCCATACAAAGTACGCGACACGCGCATGCGGCACGGCTCGGAGCATGTATATTCTTCCGAACACCCACGACCTGCGATTCCAGGAACAGCGGAATCACATCAAGCGGGGGCCGGCCCAGATGTCGCGCGATGATAATCCCGAGTGCTACGCGTCCGCATTCCGGGAGAACCGGGCGTGAGGAGGATTCATGGCGATGACGTCGCTATCAAGGGGTGCATATCGCCAAAGATTCGGCAAGACATCTTAGATTCGATTACTATCAGATTTCCATGACTTTCGTCTAGTCCAGCACACTCTCGCCGGCTTTGCTTGCATCCTTCGCGCCCTGGTCCTGAGTCCGCTGGACTTGCTCCTTGACCCTCTGGACCTGCGCATCGTCCTTGGCTATAACTGTCACTCCAACCTTCTCATACTCCTTGTGGACCTCTCCCATTGCTGACGGATCGACTGCCCTTGTCGCATCGCCAACGACCCATGTTTTGAAGCCCTCCTTCTGTGCATCAATCGCGGTGTACTTGACACAGTAGTCTCCTGCGAGGCCGACGACAAAGACGTCGGTGATTTCAGCCTTGCGCAATGTCTCTGCAAGACCGCTCTTGGCCACAGATGGGCGTTTGAACGGATCCGCGAACGCAGAGTACATCTCGACGCGCTTGTCCTGGCCCTTCTCGACAATGTGGTCCACCTTACTGACGTCCAGCTCTGGCAGTAGCTCAGAGCCTTTAGTGCCCTGCACGCAGTGATCTGGCCATAGCCGCGTTTCCTGCGTCTCGTCTGGGTTGTTCGGGTTCTTGATGGTGAATGTGGATTCGAAAGGCTTGTTGTTCGGCGGAGAGTGGTTCGAGGCGAAGGATACGTGGTCTGGGGGATGGAAGTCTTTCGTCGCGACCTTGAGAGTAAATGGATATGTGAGGAACTCGTTGATGATCGGTACGATGTTGCGTCCACCTGTTACTGCGAGCGCTCCATTCTAAGCTTGTTAACTTGGAGGCAACCTTGCGAAGGGTAGCTACTTACTGGTGGGCAGAAGTCTTCCTGTACATCAACAATGACGAGCGCTGGCTTGAAAGACATGTTGGCTAAGTAGTCAGAATTAATAACTTAATGTGTTAGTGGGTGAAGATGTCTAGAGTGGTCCCAAGGTTGAGAGCAGAGTATCGAAGGCTGTCAGGTAGAGCGGTCGTGCATGGAACCGTCTTATAAATAATCACCACTGTCTAAGATCAAGGCAGCGTAGGTCATGATGCTGCAGGTGCATGGCGCAAGCCGTAGAAACGAGCCGTTGATGAATCAACGATCGCAGGCCACGAGGCAGAAGCTTGCCGGCAGCGTCACCAGGGTTCTGTGGCTTGCCTTACCTAATCACAGCGCCAAGACGTCTGCCGTCGGCTCGTCAATTCACGACTGACGAACATCACCAGCTCGACAACCACGCCCACCCTCTCCACTCCACCCCAATCGTCTCGCCATGTTCGTCCAGCGCTCTGCTATCGCCGCAGCAAGGCGTGTGGCCCCCCGCGCCATTGCGACCCGCCGCACCTTCACCACCACCTTTGCCCGCTGTATGTTTCGCGAAGAGCTATCGTACGATGTGCCATTGACACCACAACAGGGGAGTCCACAGAGACCAAGGAGGCCAAGGAGAGCAACATTGCGCAGAAGGAGACTGGTCACTCGGCCAACGCCCCCAGCGTCCTCGCAGGCTTCAAGAAGCTCGACCGTATGTTGCGCCCGCACTTCGTCATCCGCATCGCCGCGGCTACGATAGGCCAAAACCATCAATTGCTGACGAGGTCAATTTTGTAGAAATCAAGACTGAGGAGGACCTTCTGCCTCCTGGTGCGCAGCCCGGTACCGTTCCCACTGATGCCGAGCAGGCGACCGGTCTTGAGCGTCTCGAAATTCTCGGAAAGATGCAGGGTATCGATATCTTCGACATGAGGCCATTGGACGCCAGCCGTCTCGGTACGTGATGCCGCCCCTGGAAAGATCAGGAAAAAAGAACTTGCGCGAGTTTGGGCTACTAGTGGCGTGATGTGATGCTGATGAAATGCAGGAACGATGGAGGACCCCATCACCGTCAACTCTGCCGGTAACGAGCAGTACGTTGGTTGCACTGGCTTCCCCGCCGATTCGCACAACGTCCTCTGGATCACCCTTACCCGTGAAGAGCCCAAGTCCCGCTGCATGGAGTGCGGATCCGTATACGAGATGAAGTACGTTGGCCCGGCCGACGACGCCCACGGCCATGACCACCACCACGCCGAGAACCCATACCCCAGGCCCAAGAACATGGCCGACTTCCTCAAGCCCGAGTACAGGGAGTTATAAGCTTGGGTGATTTTTTCATAGATCATCGAGTGTATCTATATGGTCGCTAAACCTGTAGCATAGTATTGTGGAGAAGTTCCTTTTGAGTTGAATGCATGCATCCGACCCGTCTGTCTGGTATTTCGAATGTTCTTTCCTCGTTTCTCGGGTCAGGCTCGCATGCCTGCCCGACGCGTCGAGGCTTCTCAACATCTCGTCACCCTTGTAGTTGTTGCAAAGAAACCCTCCACTAGCTCATGACCCTTTCAGAGCGATAACGCCCAGGACTACACTTTCGATATCTTTCTTCTCTGCTGACCTCCTCTCAGCATCCACATCCCCGTTAAGGCCACTACCCTTTTTCCCTTTCTTCCCGCTATCTCCTCCGCCCAACTTATACACCTTCCTCACCTTGTCGACATCGCACCACTCACTCAGTTCCTCTCCATTCTCTCCCATTCCCACACTTGTCCCCTCTACCGCACTGCTCAGATGCTTACTCACAGATTCATTTGTGATGCCCTCGTCTTTTTCATAAGCACCCTGCTCATTCGTTGACGATGTTGATGGAGACAGGGGTAGCTTGACGGCAATGAGTGCAGTCGTGGCATCAGTGATACCGAATTTCTTGTATGATTCGCCAATATTATTGTTGGGCGAGAGGCGGAATACTAGTTCGGAATGTGGGGTGCGCGTTTTGGCACGGTTGGTCAGGTGAGCGTGTAAGGCGAGAAATGTGGCCGAGAGAAGGTGGTGTGGTGAGAGTATCTGGGGTGATCTGTTAGTACCGAGGGTGAATGTCGATCCATCGTGGATGGCGATTCAAAAGAGCCGTGAGAACAGGGTAGGGCTGAAAATGTAGCATGCATTTTGTCCTTGGGACAAGTTAGTGCTTAGAGTTATCCAGCCTCATCAGATGCTGCACTGATTTGCTCATGCAATGTGATGAGATTATCCATGGTGCAAAGATGCCGCGGGGAAAATATCAACGCCTCGCAATCTCTTATCACGAAACTTTATTAGCCTCTGGGGTGTTGTTTTGCTCCAGGTGACTCAGCGGACCCTGACAAGGCGGGGGTTGCTAGAGGCGAAAAAAGCAATGAACAGGTAGTGAACCACGACCTACCATGGATGCATCCAAGAAGGCATAGTCGAATTCTGGATTGGCCTCGAGTAGTTGACGCCTTAGGAAGGAGGCGTTTTTGACATCCTTGAATAAGGCCACGTGGACAGGGAAGGCCTCGTAGTGCGGGATTGTAAAGGTTCGCACGGACGCCATGATAGATGGGATTGGTGTTGGCGTAAGTTTGGGTGTTGAAATGCACCACGTCGCGGGGGGCAGAACCTTGTTGGCGATATGATGTCGTCGTAGGTGTTTCGTCGTGTGATGAAAACTCTACTGGCGTCCTTGTCGTTGATGATGTGTTTCGGTGAGCATGGAGACGGATGCTGCTAGGCGGTTCGTCAGTTGTCGATTTGCATTGGCAATCTCCAAGGATATCAGATCGTGGGTGAGTCTAAAGCTCGACGGCCGCTTTGGGCAGGAGCGGGGACGGCCAAGCTAGATTTAGTCCCAGAGAATGAAGGTGGCACGGCGAATCAGGATGGATCATCGTGTCGATCGCCAGAGAACAAACTAAATTCGCCGAATATGTCAGGGCAGGCACCGTCACAGCCGTCTAGAGGTCCAGGTTTCTGAGCGCCATGTGGCCAATAAAGAGCGGACTGGAGTCGATAGCTGGAGGGCCTGCGGAGAATGGGCCTGTTCCCTTGGACGCATCGCCGAGAAACGCGCTTTCACTCGCACCCTTTGACTCCCAGCGCAGCCAGCCCTCACTTCTTCTCTCACTCTCTCGCAACCCGGCCGACGAGACTGTACAGAGGTCGCGCATCGTGCAGCGACACTCAATTTCCGCGCAGCCGCAAGCCTCGCTAGAAGTCATGTGTCTTTCGTTTGACAGGTGATAGTCGCAAGCCACCCGAGGCGCACCACCTTTGCTGGGTTTACTTGCATCGGTCTTCTCCATCGGCATTTCCCGTCTCGTTCCTGTTTCGACGTGCATTACGAAAAGTATGGCCACCAAGCGACCCCCGGACGATGACCCCAATCTCGTCAACAAGATCCAGCGAATCGAGCATGCCGACCCGCTGAGCCCACAACACCGCCCACCCTCCAACAATGACTTCTCCGGCTCTGTCAAGAAGAAGCTCGCCGACTCCAAGCGGACGGGTCAGGCGTGCGATCGATGCAAGGTACGTGATACAGTCAGTCATGTGCGATGAAAGAGTCTTGGTGCATGTCAATTGATGTTGACGGTCGTCGTCTCACAACATTGGTATACAACTGCGCCAGCGACGTCATTGCGTGGACGCGCCTTCCTAAACACAATGACACAACTAATCACGACGGCAGGTGCGCAAGATACGCTGCGATGGCCGCCCCGAGGGCTGCACACCATGCGAGCAGAACAGGACGCCCTGCCGCACCACCGACCGCATCACCGGACGCGCCACAGTCCGCGGCCATGCCGAGGCCATGGAGTCGGAGAACTCGTACCTGCGCGCCCAAATCGCTGACCTCCAGGCACAGCTGAAGGAGCACAACATCGAGCCCCGCGCGCCGCCTGCCTACAATGCCCTCCAACCACCCAGCCACCCGTGGTCTTCCGCTCCCAGCGACAGCCAGACGTGGAACGATGGCCCGCGACGCACAAGCACCTCACCACTGCCCGGCTATGCGCCAGCCGGCACTCCAGGCAAGATCGAGACGCTGCCGCAGTTCAAGCATGGCTCCATCGGCGACAACTATCTCGGTGTTGCGGCTGGAGACTCCCTCTTGAGCCATATCAAAGGCACCTCGCTGTCGATTTTCGGCACCGAAATCGACATTACCGACTTCATGGCAGGCGAGGAAGAGTACGAGAGCTCGCCCATGTCCTACACGACACTGATCGACATTGCCATCGGCAGTCGCCATGTTGACGAGCCCCAACTACCGCCATACCCAGAGCTGCAAGAGTACGCCATTTGGTATCTGCGTTCACTGAACCCCTACACGATGCTTGTTCACAAGCCAGCCTTCATGGATTTGGTAGGCCGACCTCCCATTGTCACAACGCGTCACGCTAACGCTCACAGATTTGGAGATTCGGCAACGACTCCAGTTTCGTTCCTACCGCACCCCAGATCGTGACGGTTCATTTGATGCTCGCGACTATCACATACCAGATCGCGACCCGCAACAGCCAACATAGCGGCAGCACCATGCTGGACGATTCGCATGCCCACTACATGTATGCGCTGAGTTTCTACAAGGAGCTGATCCGCGGAGAGCATGGCTGGGAAGACGTTCAAGCCATGGCCATGATATGCCACCATCTCCGTACCTTCCCCAAGCCTGGTGCGGCATGGATCATGACCTCGACCGTCTATTTGTTCGCTGTCCAACTGGGTCTGCATAGATCTGTTAAGGTCTGGGTAGATGGTACAGGGGAACTCGGCAAGCTGGACATCGAGATGAGGAAGCGAGTCTACTGGACGCTGCACGCGCTGTTGGTCAACCTGAATGGAAAGCTTGGGCGGCCGATACCCATCAGCATAAGTGACATCGATGTCGAATTCCCGGAGCCAATGAACGACTGTCTGCCTGGTGAGGAAGGCAAGCTGGACTCTTTCCATCAATGTTCGTTCCAAGTTGGCATCCAAATTGCTAAATACACTGTCTGGGAAACGGAACTCTACAAGATCATCTATGCTGTTCGATATTCGCCGAGAACATACCTGGAGGGCTTGAAACGCCTCGAAGCCGGCATACAACAGTGGAAAGAGGACCTCCCTTACGAGTTGCGCGACCCGTCGCATGCGTCTGAAGATGACCACATATTCGCCTTGTATCTCGAGTACTGGTACCAGGCGTTCAACCTACTTCTACACCATCCAGGCGTTTGCAGGTCCACTGATACGGCCACCGTCAGTTCCAATCTGGACAAGTGTTTGACTGCATCACAGAGGATGCTGCACAACTGTACGGCGATGATGAACAAGAAGAGTCTGGATATTCCCTGGATCAACACGGTCGTTTACATTGCCGCTGCCTTCACCACTCTCTTCATCTCATCTATGCGGCAAGAGCAAATGTCGCCTGTGGATATGACAAAGCTCAAAGGCGACATGGCAGCCTGGGTCAATGTGCTTGGCGAATGCGACCAGTTCCTGGGATCTGGGAACAAGCTCAAAACTGCCGTCGCAAGGATCGTCGACCAGTCGCTTAGTAACATCAACGATAGCATTGTCAAGCGAACTGCGACCGAGTCTCTCGCTCGCGTAGCAATGCAGGCTCCACCCCGATTGACGAATGCCGCCCCCACATATGATAACAGCGGGTATCGGGAACAGTACACGACCTCTTCCAGTTCACCAACAGACCCTACCCTCACATCGCAATCTGTAGGCCCGTACGGTGGTCTTCCGGGAAACAGTACACATCCCTACAGTCTTGGCACCCCGGTGGCTCTCCCCCAGCATACGAATAGGACGTACGAACAACACGCATACAGCAACGGCGATGAAGCAACTATGCATGCGAATCATGCAGCAGCATTGGCAGTGGCAGGCTCGGGCAGCATGTCGCAACCCTCAACCGATGCGTACGCCTACAGTAATGCGCAAATTGCCAACAATGGTCACCAGCCCGCGTACGCAGCTAATACCTATGCTCCTCAAGACTGGAGTCAATGGACACGAGCATACATGCAGCCACATAGCCAGCCCGGTGAATATCTAAACACAGCAACCACTCTTATGACCCTGGGTCGAGACGGTGGATCCCAAGGAACCGGGAGCGACGGCCAAGGGCTTGTCCAGACATCCGGAGTCCAGGGACACGCTCCCAGCCATTGGCCAGATATCGCATTCCCGAATGCCGCGACTGGTGGCAGCCACATGGCTCAACATTGAGCTGGGAAACACGACACATGGCATATAGAAGGCTGTGTACCTTCGGCTAATCTACATGGGTATTTGATCTTTACGGTCTGGCGTAGTGGCAACCTTCGATACCCGGCATCTGGAACACTTTGTGAGGTTAATGTATGGATATGAAGCGGCTCTCTGCAAGCCGCACGTGTTTGGTAATTTTAATTGCGAGATCTTTTCTTATGTATAATACTTCGGTTGGAGGCCAGATTCCGTTCTTAGGAGAACGAACGGCCGAACACGATACGATGACCGGTTGATGATGGTCAGTAAGGGGTAAATGTATTGTTGTTGTTCAAGGGATACTGGATATTTGCCGAGTTGCAAACAAATGACTATTGCAGTCGAAACAATGAAGATAATGATAATATCGAAGTGGGCCCTTCTCTCTTGTAGCATGTCTGATAACGATACTTCCACAAACCATGCGTTCTCTTCCCGCGAACATTCACGGGTCGGCCATAATCATCGCCACAAGATTTACTCTCCGTCCAGACCACACCCAGATAAATTGGCTACCCGTCGGCTCGGTGCTACAGTGCGGACCCTGGGGAGTGCGCGCATCAATCTAGCACTGCACTAAGCCGTGCCACCTAGGCTAAAGTAGGAAGCCGACTTGATCACTTGGCACGACCCCACCAATCGACCTTCCATTCGCGAACCAAGGCCGATAAGCTTCCTGTACTTCGATCCACTGCGCTTGGTCACTACGTAAACCTCCTTCTGCTTTCGAGCTGGCGGTGCAAACAAGCACGAAAGATCTACTAAGCTTTCTTTGGTACCATCCGCGGTTTAACAGGCGTGAATTTAAATGAGTCGGCAAGCTATGCCACGGATGATCCTACGGCCCTTGGTAAGGGTCGCAGGATGGGCGGCAAAACGGCATAGCGTGGAAGTTGGGTATGTATATATGGGCGGCCTGAGGATGGCGGTGATGGAGATCCACGTCGTTCTTTCGTCCTTGAGTCGCTGTTGTGGTCTGTGCCGTTGTGTCTCTGATAACAGACGCTGAGCAGAGAGATATCTTTGCCCTTCTCCCAACACCCATATCTCACTCTTGCGGATCTCCCGCGGAGGTAATCCGGGTACAACAGTTCCTACCCACGCATCGTTACTTTATTCATTCTCAACATGCGGTCCTCGGCATCCATCGCGGCGGTGGCCCTCGCCCTGCTGCAGGGTACCAACGCCATGAACGCGGCCATTCAACGCAAGCTTAATTTGCTTGCCGATATGGGCATGAATCCAGATGGCTCAGCAATGGCCACTTTCTCAGACGACGCCGAAAACAGTGCTATCGATACCTCGGCTTTCAAGTCCCTCAAGATCGCGACTACGGCAGACAGCCCGGCTGTGTTTGCCGCCGTAAAAGCCGCAAACATCACTCCGGAATACGTCGAGCTGCCAATCGACCACTTCGCCTACAAGAAAAATCAGGATTCTTCGTACCAAGGCACCTACTTCAACAGATACTGGGTCAGCACGAGTGGCTACAAGCCCGGCGGTCCCGTCTTCCTCTATGACACAGGCGAGGCAGATGCAGAGCCGGGTGCGTTGACTAGGCTGCAAAACGAAACCAGCTTTTTCAAGCAGCTCGTCGATGAGTATGGCGGTATCGGTATCGTGTGGGAGCACCGCTTCTACGGAAACTCAACCCCCACGCCCATCGACCTCAACACGCCAGCCGAGGCATTCGAATTCTTAAACACGGAGCAGTCACTTGCAGATGTTGACAGCTTTGCTAAGCAGTTCAGCAGGAAGGGTATCAATGCTACGCTCACCCCCGACAAGACTCCTTGGGTTTTCGTTGGTGGTTCGTACCCCGGTATGAGGGCCGCTTTCATGCGCAACATGTACCCTGATACCATCCACGCATCTTGGGCCTCGTCAGCTCCCGTTGAAGCTTCCGTTGACCAAAGCTTCTACTTCTCCCCTGTGTACCGGGGTATGAACGCCAAGGGCTTCGGAAACTGCACGAAGGATATCCACGCTGCTATCAACTACATGGACAACATCATGGACACGGACCCGCGCGCAACCGCCAAGCTCAAGGAGCAGTTCCTTGGGCTTGGAGCTGCCAACAACTCTAACCCTACGTTTGCCGATGCTCTTACGACTATCTTCTACCTATGGCAGTCTTATGGTATGGAAGGTGGAGCGATGGGCCTCCGCCGCTTCTGCGACTACATCGAGACAGACCCCAAGACCAACACGACGGCTCCTGCGGAGGGCTGGTCCAAGAGCAAGGGCGCAAAGTGGACGACGGATCGATGGGCGAGCTACCCAGTCTTTGCTGACAACACGAACGGGTTCATGGAAACCGAATGCTCGGGCAAGATGAACGTGACTGGCAACTGTGATTTGAACCGCAGATTCACGGACCCTGCCTCGATTTCTTGGACCTGGCAGTACTGCACACAGTGGGGTATGTCATCCTTCTCTTAACATCGACTCCCTCCTTGCACAAGACTAAACTCCCAGCAGGATACTTCCAATCCGCCAACCTTGGCCCCCAGCAACTCGTCTCCAAGTACAACTCACTCCAACACCAACATGACATCTGCCACCGCCAATTCCCCAACGCTCCCAAGTCCCTCTTCCCTGAGTGGCCAAACACTGCCCGCACCAACAAGATCTTCGGAGGCTGGGATATCCGTCCCTCAAACACTTACTGGTCCAACGGTGAATTCGACCCATGGCGCACTCTCTCCCCTGCTTCCGCTGAGCCCTTTGCCCCCAAGGGCGTCCAAGTTATCCAGGATGTGCCCAAGTGTGGAAAGAAGACTAGCAGGAACGAGCTGTTTGGCTTGGTCCTCAAGGATGCGCAGCATTGCTATGACTTCAGGACGACGGGTTCCACCGTCCCTGATGGACCCGTTAGTCGGACGTTGTTCAGGAAAGCGCTAAGCGAGTGGCTGCAGTGCTACAAGCCAAAGAAAGGCCAATCGAAGCCGTGGAACGCCTAGATGCAAGTCTGAGAAAAGGCCGTCCTTGCTCCGGGTAGAAGAGGTGGCATTGCTACATATCGTTCTTCCCTGTTCACCTTACTTAGACGACGTCTAGATAATTTTTGTCATCCTACAACTTTGACCTCGCCACTCTTTCCTGTGACTGCTCTCTCTTTTTATCTAAGCGAGCGTCCCACTCCCAGACCTCCCCCGTAAATCTATCCTTCTCCCACTTTTCATACACCCTCCTCTTCTCCTCCTCGCCACTAACCCCACACATCTCCCTCCATACCTCCAACTGCTCTTTAAACCCTGGGTTAGGATCGCACACTGGTCGTCCCTCACATAGCTGGTCCAGCGCCGCGGCGGGGGTGAGATTGTACTTCCAGATCAAGTACGCGCAAATGAGGGTTGCGGACCGGGATTTTCCCATTGCGCAGTGGATGAAGACGCCGCCGTTTTCGACGTTCAGGGCTGTGTCGATGTAGTGGACGGCTGGGGTGAAGTCTTGGAGGAGATTGGTGTTTGGGTGGTCTTCTGAGCGGATGTGGAAACTGAGGTGGGGGGGTTGGTGTTAGTATGATCAGATCATAGGAAGCTCGTTGCTCTCATGCCGCTCTTGAAACGAAAATAACACATACTAACAGTTTTGTTAGCCTACATTCAATTGCTAAAATCTGTAGTGGTGATTGCACGTTACCTGTTTCAAATGCCTAAACTTCTCCTGTAGTAAAGGGTCATAATCTATCACTGATAAAACGTGTGTTATGCCAGCTTTATCTATCAGGTCGCCTTGGTATAGGGCGTAGAGGCCGCCGATGTAGAGTTTACCCGCCCGCGGAACGAGATCGACCCAGCCCATGCCTGTGTGTCCTGTGCTGCCGTGAAGGAGGAAGGACATGTATTCGGAGGCTATGCACGCAGAAGGATGGGGTATGAGGAGTAGAAAACGGGTGATGTGGTGGGTTTGTGATGGTATTGATGGCTATGGACGGCTTGAACGAGAGAGCCAATCGCGGAGAAAGTACCGAGGTACGATTGAAACAGTACATCATGTACTTCTCGATGTAATTTCTGCATGGATCTGTACGCCTTTGTCTTCTTTGTTTCAATCCTTCGCTATTGCCATGCGGTGGGCATCGTCGCTGCAATGTCCGAATGGTGTTGCGTGAGAAGTGCTGCCCGAAATCGGCCAATGACGGCCGGTGAGAGAGAGAGGGCCCCACGTGCGTGAAGCGCTAGACGGCGGACGCGCCTTCCAACCTCGCCATGGGACGCGTCAAACTTCACACCTGCTATCCTCATGCTCACTTCCGAAGACATGGCGACATCATCTCGCCATCTCAGCCCGCACATCGCGGATCACTATACGACTGGACCGTAGGAATGAGCTCCAACGATGTTCCGAGGTCGGTGCACGCGGGCTCGGACATGACATTACCGCGACTCTACCAGATTGATGGAAGCACCACCATGCGCTCATCCATGCAGACTAACATGAACATTGTATATCCGCGTACTAATCTCAACTAGCAAAACGTTCGCTCAAGTGTTGTGGCGTCCAGGACCTACTGTTGTTTCCCTACATATTTCCGAGTATCTCCCATCGTTTCAATCTGTCAATATTCATATTGTTTCGATGAAGGAGTCGCGAACTTGACGCAGGCATTGCTCGCACGTATGCACAGCAAAAAGGGATGAAGTGGTCAGGATATACGCATGTTTGATCTACTATTTGCCTGTAGGCCGGCGGTGAGGGGCAGGCTAACGTTGTGTAACATTGATTCGCCTCGCCACGTCTACCAATCTGATCTGAGACTGCTTTCGGTTTTTCACTTAGTAAAGGTGAGAACATACCTGAAACGATTAGCTGTGGCGGGACGCTGGCTCAAGCAAACAATACTCGCGTCGAAACTTTCTCGATAGCTTTTCGGAATCTTGAGCTACACCACCCGCACCGACATGTCATCCCTACGACCTGCACACATTGTGCTAAACCCGTACTTCTATCCGGCCGGTAATTCACCAGCCGTGTGTCTGACTCAAACCCATCCGCCAGACAGAGATGCTGCTCTGCTCCTGCTTGGTTGCGGCGACATCCGTAACATCTTGTTCACCATCTACAACGGCTCGGGCACAGGTGAGCAGCTTGACGTCGACTTTTACAAACCGTACCAATCTAAATAGACCACCGCCGCCTCGACTTCACTTGTTGCGACCTAGAAGCCGAGATCATCGCTCGTAATGCGCTCTTACTCACGTCGATACTTGATGATATGACAGGCGATCACACTCAGCAATTATGGAACATATACTATCACAACTTCCTCGACTCTGAGTCCGCAAGACTGCTTCAGACTCAGGCCGCAAGACTTGTTGCTCATGCTCAATCACTTGAAGTTTGGGAAACCGGCTCTTATGCGCAATGTGTTGAGTTCGGCGACAGGACCACATTCGCGAAGGCCCTCGAGCTCTGGAAGATATACGCTACGCCGCCGGCCGATAAGAAGCAATACAGACAATTACAAGCAACACTGAGAGTGCAGTGGCGCGCCGCAAAGCGATGGCAAGAGATCAAAGTCGAGCCTCACGAATTGCAACTCACTGGTGGTCGATCATTTGCTCCTATCTTCCAAGAAGCACCAGTCGAGCTAAACGAAATGTATCGTACATTCTGGCGAACTGGAACTTGTCTGGAAAACAAGGAGATGATCAGTCAACTGACTATCGCAAATCCGATGTTCGTGTGCTTTCGCGAGGGTCTAATCCTCCACTATGGAACCAGTCCGCTGCTAGGGTTTCATCATGCTTCAGCTTACGCCCGCCTATCCACCAACTCGCCGTTGCAAACAAGCGAAGCAAATATAAAGGAAATGCCCAAACCTATGGCCTCTGCACTCACGCAATTCTCCGCATGGTGCAAGGCCTTCCGCCTCAACGCGGCGAGGGTCAAAGTTCGCTATGTCTGCTCTGAGGCCATCGCGTTCTGCCATGTTCTACGCCATCAACGGCTACACGGAGAGTCACGGACTGCCAACTGGTATCGCAACAATTGGGGTTATAGCCGATTAGAGCTTGACACAACGTGTTACGGCCCGCACGGGAACGCTCCAACTGCATTCGACGTTATCGACACATCGAATCTCACAGACCATCTTGGCATACTCAACGTACTTGCTGCTGCTGGTCCCCTTCTTCTCAGTGGGTCGGCCGCCACAATAAGAACTGAGATTTTTATACCACGAGAAACAACAGTCTCTGAATCGGCCAAAGCACTTCTAAGTGGCGATCTACCTACCGTCGCTCTTCTGCTTGGTCTGAAGCCTGCGCATTTCTGGTCCGACGCCACCGCTTCATGGGATGTCCACAACTCCATTGAGATGGACTCCTATCACGCTGAAGCCTTCGTTCACGGTATGTCTAGACAAATTATTCTCTGGAAGCCCACAGGAACAACTAGAGTCGAATGGATAGCGCCGAGTCTTGCCGAGTTCGTCTTCAAGATGTATCTCACCATGTTTCAAGACGAGAGCCTGCATAGCCTGCTTGGGTTACTCAACACGGGAGTCGAAGGTATGCTTGCCCGCAAGTTCCATACATACGAGATGTACTCGCGAGCAAGTTTGGCAGTTCTTCTACTGCACATCAAGAACTCGGGAGTTGTCGAATGGCATCCTTTCATTGAGCGCTTCCTAGACATGATAACTCAAGACAGAACCCTTATGATGGGTGGGCATTCCTATCAATCCCTTTTGGTGTATGTTCATACATTTGGTCTGGCTGATCTCACAACATTTACTCATTGGCATCCGGATCACCACCGCAAAGATCTGCAGAAGGGCCCATTCCGAGAGTGGAGCACTGTACCGCCAACAGTATGCGTCACGATGGCCATACCGCATAGTGCGGTTGCGATGTTTGCAGACCTCGCAAATGGATGTGGTACGCCACAGTGCCACATAATGACACAGACCTCTCTGTCTTCGAAGCAAAATGTCTATCCCGATATTCAGCTCGGTTTTGGTACGATTACGACTTCAGGCACGGATTTCACAGACGATTACGCGTTGAACATCCGAGAGGATCCACAAGGCTGGTCAGGCCAAGCACCGCTCATCGTCTCGACTATGGTATCTACACTTGGACTGGTGTTCGAAGGCGACCCTGCTTGCGAAGTTAAGCTTTGCTTGAAGAATACACCATCTATTGCTGCCGAATTTTCACCCGGCCTTGGTCCATTGCTAGAGATTTTTGGGTCGGCGGTCGGTCGGAAAGATGTTCATATCACGAGACATCGCCCGCATATGACTGATGATGTCTCAGTTGGAGCTATAGAGGAGGTCAAATCTGGACTAGGTAAGTCAGAGTTTGCGCTCATCGTTATACCGCCTTCGTATGGACTGATTATGAGTACAGATGGCGAATTCTCAATCACTGTGAAACTTGCATTGGACTCTACTGGCAGCAGGATATCCACCCTCGCAGTGCGCTTCAAAACCTTATCAGCCAAAGCCGTAGCAGTCTTGCAGAGTGGAGGCTCTATAGATGTGCAACTTCGAGACCCGTTCAGTCTAGAATTGAAGATACACAGCGGAGATGATCTGTGTCAGGCCACAGTCCAACTCCCGATGCCCCTGGAGTTAGGTCAAAGTAAGACCAAGATTGCTCGGAAGTCTATGTGGATCGAATACTCGGCACCCGTCGCAGAATCAGCATCCTTGTCTGCCCAACCAAATGCGCTTTTCCCGTTGCGAAAAGACCCAAGGTATGACGGTAATCTCGACAATTTTCACAACGTCACTCATGCGGCATTTAGGTCATCTACCGTTGAGCTAGACCAGCTTCATTATGTATGCCCCGATGTCCTACCTTTTCTCCATATCGACACTGAGGGCCCTCATGCTCTGTGGCTGAAATGGCTTACTTCTGGCAATGCTACCATGTCGAGTTCAGAGCTTGATCTATGTAGGAAGCTCCAAAAGAGAGACGAAGCGCTGCCTAGGCGTATAGGAGTCAAGAATCGAATCTTCCAAATGATTTCAGGATTTGCGGACCTCAACAGCACCGCCCGATGCTCTATATTCCGTATCGAGGATTTCCATGGAACTGTTGCGATCGTCATGGTCTATGCCATTCGTATGGATCTGTCCAACCAGACGGTCTTCTTGGACGCTGCGGTCATTCAGATGCTCAACACCTTACCCAAGGAGTGTACAGCAGCGGTAGAGGAGATAGCTGATGCTGATATTGTTACTTTTAAAGTCTCCGATCAAGAGGCCCTGTTCTGGAAGCATCTCCTACCAGCGTTCGCGGAGCGGTGTCGCCAGTGGCAGCACAAGCTTTCGTGCGAGTATGAGCAACAAAACATGATTCCGATCTATACCGTACCAGGAGAGAGCTTCATGTGCAGGTGTGGGTTAAGCATCTTCCCTGACGGCTATCTGGACAATCTTGAAGCTTTCAAACCGCTAGCACGGTTCTCCGTCCGTGTCGCCATACCCGTCATCTTTCCTTCTCCCGTCAGCCGAGACCGCTCTCCACCAGATTGGCCAATGGACATTACCGAGCCGAGCCACCCGAAGCAGGACTGCTGCAAGGTATGCAGTGCGCGCAAGTCAAGTGATGAAAGGCTGTTGCAGAAGTGTGCGGGCTGCAAGGTAACGCTGTACTGCTCCCCGGCATGCCAGAAGAAAGATTGGAAGAAGGACCACAAGCAATTGTGCTCACAGTTGAAAGACGGCTAAAACGCTCGATTGCGCTCTAGTGTCGTAGCGGAAGTTGGGCGTACTACAACCACGTAACTTGTAGAAAGTCGAGGTTGCCGTATTTCCTTCCCTCATGCGTAGGTGTATGTTGAGACCTTTCTGACCGGTAACTTGTACTGTAGGGTACAGAACCTACATCTGGCTTTCACGACGACACAAGAGTTGCTTTCCTAGCCTACTCGCTTGTGATGGAGGGGTCAGTTGAAGGATTTGCGACAATGGTTGCCCCTCATCTCTGGCGATCTCTTGGGTACCAAGGCTTGGAAGTATTGACGTGGACAGACGGCGCTACTCTGATCACACACACTCACACACGTTGTCAAAATGTAGATCGTCCAACACTACTACTACGCGCGATGTTTTTAGTACATTGTCTGTCGTGAAGCTTTGAAGAGTCGCCACGAGGCTGTGGTGTGTAGCGGCCGTCTGCTGGTTGGCCTTGCGATGGTCTGAGCGGCTCTTCGTCGGCTGGGTGGATGTAACTTAATCATGATGCAAATAGTGATGGTCAGGCGACGTGTACGTGCTCGTGTTCTGCCGCCTGCCCCGACATGCGGCAATGGATCCACAACCCCGCAAACAGCAGCAGAGTTGCACAGTGCCGGCGACAGCGCAATGTACCACAGCAGTAGGATATTCGATGCAAACATTTCGCGAGTGAAGTATGACTACAATTGTCCAGGGAGTCAATGGGGCAAGCAAGCACGTGGGGCGCGAAGGGTCCTGCAGGGCTGCAGTGTGATCCAAGAATAGCTGCTAGCGGTTATCGATAGATGCAGGGTGGCGATAGCGGTGCGCAACACCAGGATCGTCAGGGCAGGCCATGCAGGGACGATGTTAGCTGTCAACTTTTCTTTTTCGAGGGGTGAGCTTCAAAACTGTTTCAAGAGTTGAACCGCGATGAAAGTGCTCGCGAGGACGCCGGAAACAATGTTTGAAGTGCGACGCTGCCGCGGATGCATTTAACACGCGACACAAACGGCTAGCCCTTCCGTGATTTACGGCCTAGCGTGATCGTAGGCGGATGGTGCCCCGTATCTGCGCGGCGGGCCACCCCTTCTTCAAAGAGAGTGTCGCCGCTCGCTCCTGCCTCGATTCACTCCTTCAGTGCCCTTTCCTATCCTTCGGGACCACCTTCGCTTTACTAACCCGGCAGCTTAATCTTTTGTTTCCTAAAGACACTCGCTTTTCGAAACTTCTTCGCCGTACCATCTCAGGGGAACACAAACCACAAATTCCACGCGCGCGCCCTTCCCTTGCTTCGCCGCACGACCGCCCGGGCCCCTACACCTGCTGTTTCACTCCCAACCATCGAGAGTTCCTGCCTACGGTAACTACAAGAGAAGGTCGTGATACCGTCATCTTGATCGCTGCGCTACTCCACTTGCCGACGATAAGGTGCTTACACGACATCGACGATCCCGCAAACGGTCCGACATCATGGTACGAAGTCTGCTGTCCGCCGCCTTTGCGGCGACAGTACTTGTAGGCACAGCGCTTGCTGGAGCGAAATGTACAAAGGACAGCCACTGTCCTCAGGACACGCCATGCTGCTCTCGTACGTGTCGCAAAATTTTATCGCATCGGGGTTGGTGCTAATCAAGTGACAGTATATGGCGACTGCGGTGTCGGCGCTTTCTGCCTTGGTGGCTGCGATCCCCTCATGTCACACAGCTTCGACTCGTGCGTTCCCGGTCCCGTATGCAAGTCCGGCAAATACACACTAGACAACCTCGACGACGTGCAGACCATCGACAAGTACCTCGGCGATGCCTCCAAGATCAACTGGCAGTCGCAGGGCATGCCCACTATATACACAGACCCCAAGACCAAAGAGAAGTCAACGCTCTTGACCATGGCACAAGGAACAGTCGGAACACTACTGGCGTCTACCTACTACGTTTGGTACGGCAAGATCTGCTCCAAGCTTAGCACAGCGCAGGGCAAGGGTGTCGTCACTGCCTTCATTCTTATGTCGGATGTTAAGGACGAGATCGACTTTGAGTGGGTTGGCGTAGACACAAGCCACGTCCAGTCCAACTTCTACTCTCAGGGTGTCACAGTGTGTAAGTAATCCGACATTCGGGCTAAGCTACCCTCGCGCATGACTAACGCGATTTTAGACACCAACGGCGAGAACCTCACTGTCCCAGACGCGAACACGGTCGATACTATGCACGAATACTGTGTTGACTGGAAGGAAGACACCCTGGTATGGTCCATCAACGGCAAAGAACAACGTAGACTCGAGCGATCAGACACATGGAACAAGACATCCGGTCGCTTTGACTACCCCCAGACACCTGCGCGTATCATGCTTTCCCTGTGGCCTGCTGGTCTGCCTTCGAACGAAAAGGGTACCATTGAGTGGGCGGGAGGAGAGATCGACTGGAACTCGCCCTACATGACCAACGGATACTACGCCGCCCGCTTCTCAGAAGTCACTGTCGAGTGCTACGACCCACCGGAGGGTGCACAGATCAAGGGAAAGAAGACATACAAGTACACGGATGAAGCCGGTACCAACAATACCGTCGCCATCACGGACGATGTAGTTGTTCTCGGCTCGCTCATGGGCACCGGCGAGAACCCAGGAGAGGCCAAGGACAAAGACGACGATTCAAAGGCCACCGATATTGCCATGGTACCTGGTGGTAATCCTGGAGGAGGTGCTGGACGAGAAGTCGCTGAGACATCAGCTGCCGCACAACCAAATTCGCCTGCACAAGAGACGGGTTCGTCTGGCAGCGGCGTCACCGCTCAAGGCCAGTTCGACCAAGGTCTAGGTGGCAGCACTGGTGCTGGATCCGTCATCCAGCCTGGCCTCGGACGCATGGGAGGATCCGTCTTCGCCATCATCGTCGCCATCATGGGCTTGATCGCGTTATAATCGCATTACCCATTTTTTCCTTTACCGCTTTATGCCCTTTTTCATGTCCGTCTGTCTTGTCTATCCTTGGCGTTTAGTTCGATACCTGTGGTTTTGTAGTTTTGTGTACTGGGGAACAGGGGTGAGACGGGTTGCATACTCCCCCTCGTCGTCTTGTGTATAGTGCATACATTTTCCTTCTTCCTCATCGTCCATCTCCCGCAGTCTTCTGGTTATGACATATTTCCTGTCTAGATGGTTGAATCTGTTTGATACAACAAATGTAATACCGCATTTCAAGAAGCTGCGTCTTTTTCTGATGATGTATTGAAGCGATGGAGGAGCTCGGTGCATGGGGGTCAAGAGGTGAAAAGAGATTGACGAAGCTGCAGCATACCCAGATGAACGACAAAAAGTCTCTGTGTGGCCAAGCACCGCATATGCATGCCCCGCGCGAGCATGGAGGCATATCAAACCTGTTCGCAGCATCTCGCCGGAAAGGTACATCCAAGGTCAAGAGGTATGTCAGCGCTACAAGGATGAGTCTCGGCTACCTGCCCCAACCGTCTAGTGGATGCAGACTTCGACCATCGGCAGTGGAGCTCACCCGTCCCCTGTATATTACCATGTCGATGACTGCAGCCTCCTTTGGAGAGAAGATGAGCGAATTGGACAGAGCTTACTATGTGGAGAAGATAACTGATGCCGGACTTTGCATGAAGAAGATGCTTGACCGATGATTTGGGTCGGAACATAAGACAAGCCCCTCGCAGGAAGGTTGCTTTGGCATTGAAGACTCCTTGTTGTTTGGCTCCTACGGCAGTCTTGAAGCATTCTGCAATCGTTCAACGCTCCTTCCACGTCATCATGTCGCTCACACTTTACGCTCTACTAACTGCCTTGGTAGCCGTAGCTGTCTACAGCCTCCGCAGCGTCGGTCGCAGGCCCGCCAACTACCCCCCAGGCCCACCGACGCTTCCCATGATAGGAAACCTGCACTTGATGCCCAAAGAAAAGCCGCATCTCCAGTTCCAAAAGTGGGCCGAAGAATACGGTCCTGTGTACTCGCTCATTCTGGGTACAAAGGTGATGATCGTGTTGTCGTCGGACCAAGCTGTGAAGGATCTGCTTGATAAACGAAGTGGGATATATTCGTCGCGTCCGGATATGTATCTTGGTCAGATTGTGAGCAATGGATTTCGGATGCTACTCATGGTAAGCTTCTCCGATAATGACAGTTCGTTATTAAGCTGATTGAGGTAGCCGTACGGCGATACATGGCGCATGATTCGAAAGATTGTTCACAATAACCTTAATATTAAGGCGGCGCGGACATACGTCCCATATCAAGAGTTGGAGAACAAAGCGATGCTTGTCGGCTTCTTGGACAGTCCAGATCTCTTCATTGACCACATTCGTCGTTACACGAATTCTTTAACGACGCAGATGATCTTCGGGTTTCGCACTACAAGTATCGATGACCCCAAGCTGAAACAACTCTACTCGGTGAGTCGCATTCTGAGACCCTCTCATCTCTCTAACACCACCTCAGGGTTTCGAGAAGTTTTCCGAACTCATGGGTGAGACTACAGCGGGACTTCTCGATCTATTCCCAACACTGCGTTCGTTACCCGATTTTGCACTTCCCCTACGGAAATATGCGAAAGAACTACACGACAAAGAGAGCGAGCTATACGTCGGCCACTGGCTAAACGTAAAGAAAGCAATCAAGAACGGAACTAGCAAACCCTGCTTCTGCGTCGATCTCGTCCGCGCGCAAGACGAAGAAAACTTTTCAGACGAGCTCGCCGGCTACGTGAGCGGTTCTTTGCTGGAAGCTGGATCGGACACTACATCCGCAACACTCATTGCCTGTGCGTAAACTACCCTACACCCACCAGAATTGCACTAACCCCCCAAAGTCATCCAAGCAATGATTCTCTTCCCCTCCGTCGCAGCCGCCGCCCGAGAAGAACTTGACCGCATCTGTGGCCCCCGCTTCCCCACACTCGAAGACGCGCCAAACCTGCCCTACATTCGCGGCTGCGTCAAAGAAAGCATGCGCTGGATGCCTACAGCCATCCTCGGTGTCCCACATGCTGTGATCCGCGATGACGAGTACATGGGGTATAAGATACCAAAGGGCGCGGGTGTGATGTGGAATGTATGGGCGATTCACAATGACCCGGCACGTCATCCTGATCCGCGCCGCTTTGACCCGCAGCGGTATTTTCATGATAGCCAGACTGCGGCGGAAGCGGCGAATAACGCGGATGCGTCGAAGCGGGATCATTTTCTTTTTGGTGCGGGGAGGAGGTTATGTCAGGGTATGCATATTGCGGAGCGGTCGCTGTTTCTAGCTATTGCGCGGTTAGTGTGGGCGTTTGAGTTTCATCCTGGTAAACATGCGGATGGCGGTGTTTTTATGCCTGATCCGAATGATTTGACGGAGGGTATGTTGGTTCAGCCGAGACCTTTTCCAGCGAGGATTGTGCCGAGGGATGAGGGGAGGGTTAGGGTTGTGAGGGAGGAGTGGGAGAAGATGGGGAGTTTGCTGGATGGGGAGGAGCAGTGGAAGGTTTTGCCTGAGGGCTTGATTTGGAAGGAGTATGATAATGCTGCGAAGACGACATGAAGCTGCGAGAAGGTGGAAGACTCTCTGCCTCGTTTGTTCTGCTTACATGGCGTATTCCAAGAACACGTTTGCTTCTTCCTTTCCCTTCTAGTAGATGTAGTTTCTGAAGGTGAAAAGCCTTCATTTTCGATATCAGTCCGTTCTCGCACGATAATCTCAAGTAAACAACCCACTGTCAACCCCAGTAAGAAGCCAGGAGCAGATGTCACACGTCCGCTACGAATGCGCAACGTGTGGTCACAATAGAATGAATAAACTCTTCCCAAACTACAATCCTTCCGCCGAGTGCGACCATCGCATAAACACCTGCAAAGCATGTCTTCAGAAGCATGTCGACTTTTGTATCAAAAACGCGCAAATCACGATTACCACCGATGGAAAGGCTTCGTTGGGAATAGGGTTTCCCGAGTGTACGGCTATTATGAGAGCTATCAACATTAAAATTGCCACCACCGAAGCCATGTATGCGAAATTCGAACAATTAGAGCGGAACCACGATGATAAGTGGCGCTGGTGTCTAGCTCGAAATTGTGGTGCCGGACAGCTCCACGACAATAGTCCAGAGGGGGATGGGGAAGAAGACACATGTAAGTGTCATAAGTATTGAGCACTCGCCTGCGTGCCTTGCGGTCGACCGTACCATAAAGGCGAGTTGTGTGAAGCCTACCAATACCGCATCAAAGACCGTATCGAGGAAGAAGAACAGTCTTTGTGAACTAGCAAGTGGCTGACCAAAGCCCTGCCCTGGTTGCGATACGAGTATAGAAAAGAACGGTGGCTGTGCTGACGTGAACTGTAAGTGGGCGAGATCAAGCTGATAGATGTTGGTCACTTACTTGAATAGGTACTCAATGCGGGAGGAGGTTCAAGTGGTTCTGATTAGTAACAGGACGGCATTGACAAGTACCGTAATCCGACCGGAGCGAAACGATTGCTTTTCTTTGGCATGTGGAGGTCGCAGGCCAACCACGGCGTATCGAGAATGATAGAGCTCGGTATATTTATATGCTTTCCATGGCATGTCCATCATAGTCCTGGACCTGTAGATAGAGAATACCATAGAAATCCGGAATAACCCTCATTGAACTTGTATTGTTTAAATCCCTACTATCCTATCCACCTCACCTCTCTGGATGTCTATCAATCCATGCCGTGTTCCCAAATTCACCCGAAAACGGGTACTGAAACACCTTGTCCAGCGTCGAATACGGCTCATACTGCTTCCGATCCATGACAATGCTCACATTACTCGCCAGCCGCGCAGTCTCATTCCACCCAGGCCCGTAGTCCTTGTACTCTGCCATCGTAGTATTGAAGTTCACCCTTGGATCCGTAGCTCCCCACTTGATGTACCCGTTGGGCTGGATCGAATCATCCAGATAGCAGTTTGCGAAGATGGAGCGATGTTGAGCGTTCCAAGGGCGACCCAACGCGCACTGGCCAGTTATGGAAAGGGAAGAATTGGCTTTCTTCACGTCGGAGTCGTGGATGTAGACGCCGTATTTGTTGACAAAGGTTGTGTTGGTACCCTTCCATGCTGTGATGCCGCCGCCACAGTTACGAAGGGAAACGAGACTGGACTGAATCCACGCCGTGCCGAAACCGTAGAAGAAGTCTGTTTGTCCTGCTATCTCGTTCTTGTAAAAGTACGCGTTGCCTAGTTTGCCGACGTACACGGTGTCTTGGTACGAGTAGAATCCGCAGTAGTAGAAACCGGTGTTCGCATAGCTCACTGAGACTGCCAGGGCTGGACCGGCGGAGTAGGGTGCGTACAAGTTGCTGAAATCTATGTTGTATGCGCGAAAGTCGGTGTTTCCGAATGGTGTACCGGCAGGTACGGGATCACCGGTTGGCCCGGTTCCAGTCTTACTCGCGTTGAAGGTTGGCGCAACAGTGAGGACGGAAGTATAGGCGTTGTCCAATGTTGACAGGCCAGCTCCAGTTGCATTGCGCCATATCACATTGACAGTGTTCTTGCTTTGGTCATTGGGCGCTTTCGTTTGACCAAAAAGGTAAACGGGACCTGGCCGAGTGACGTTTACTTGCTCAGTATAGTTTCCAGGAAGGACCAAGATGTGATGGGGCGTAGTGTCGTTTGGTAAGCTGAGTACTGCGGACTGAATTGTAGAGAAGTTGCGACCAGGACCAACCAGGATCGTGTTCTGAGGGCAACCGTCCAGTGGCTTCTTTGTCGGATACTGGCACGCTTTGCGGTTGACAGTCGATACAGCAGCGCAGGCCTCGAACAGGCCAAGGAGGAGTGTAATCCAATGCATGGTGAAAGTTTGAAGTTTCCTCACGGCCCGAAAAAGCATGCGCGCCTTTTTTTTTTTTTTTTTGGCGGACTGAGGCTTGGCCTGCACTTTATATCAACTCATCGTATCCGCACTCCTGGGGTTGGGATTCCCATGTGGCTCAAGACATCCGCAATGCCCGGTTACCGTTGTGCCCTGAGCACCATCATCAGCCGCAAGTGCGCCTCTAGTATCAATTATCCGTTCAATGCCTCCAATCAGCATCATTACCAGGCATGTCGAGCGCGGGGAGTATCCACCTGGAGAGATCCGGAGAACGTGGGGAAGATGGAAGAACATTATCCACCAATTAAGCCGATCACTAACGAGCCTCGGAAATGATCTCACATCGTCAGAACAGCCGGCAAACCGATGAAAGGAGTGAATAATGAGCCATAGTCAAACGTCGTTATATAGGCTTGTTCTGTGTCGCCCGCGAGGCTTCCGTGGCGTCGGTCAAGCTTCAGCACAGAGCTTACTGAGGCTTGTTTAGATGGTGCAACGGCGCATAAGATCGTGGACTGAAGGCGGCATGAGATGAAACTGCGGTGGTAGCCAGAGTAGCAGACATTGATGCCTATACGAACGTCGAAGCTGAGCTGCATCGCAAGCGCTTCAAAGTGATGCGATGTTGATTCCGTTCCAGCTAGGTACCGCTTGCAGGAGTCCAGCCAACATTGTAGTCGCGACGAAGACATTCGTAAAGTTTTTAGAGCCGAGCATTTTTGTGCGCTATCTCAAATTTGGGGTATGAACTTGGGTCTTCGAAAGAGCAAGCCGCCTGTGGTGTTGAAGAAGTGTAAGCTCGTGAGGCCCTCGAGATATTACCGGCGCCAAACCGGAAATTACATTACCGGGAGTTCCGAGATTTGGCAGGAGACACGCGAAGGTCTGACCAGCTGCTTTCAACCTACAACCGCATGAGCAAGCTGCGTCCACTCTCGATTGTTCACCGCCTGAAGCCCTCGTCGCATCTTGCACATTTGCTTCTGTGAGCAGAATTTGACTTCCAGCGACAGTACTCTCCATACATGGTCGATTTTGCGCTCAGGACACTCATGAAGTCGGCCGCTTACGCTCCACAAGATTCCGGAGGCGTAAGAAAACGAATATCGAGCGCACTGAAATGCAGTTCGAAGTATTCAGTACGCGCCCAGTGCGTTGGTGGTAGGCTAATAATGCCCAGCGATCACGACATCGCCCTTGTCTTTTCTGCGCATCGTTGAGAGGATGTTCCAAGACATTCCAACCAGCGACTTGCTTCACCTTCCTGTTCAGGGTTCTTGGGAGCGACCAGCTTTGGACACCACAAGCAACTCAAGGCTCGCAATGTTGCAGCGCTTGCTGATCGCGACATGGAAGGAGTGCATTCGCAATTTAATTCGCGTGGCATGCTACGACCATGTTATCGCGCCATTGCAAACGGTTATATGACCCTACAGGATCCCGGCCACTGCGTAATCGTCCATCTTCTGCGCAAACCGCTACCAACGACCCTTGCGGCTGTGTTTCGATCACCAACTCGACGCGAGCTATTTGTGCCACTGGTGCTTCTAGCAAAACCCAAGCATGGCCACAAGCGCTGACGACGACGCGAAGGTTGCGCGGTACACCAATGATGAAACCTCGCCTTCCCCACCGGTCTACGAAGATGGCAGCGTACAAGAAGATAATGCCTATGTCTACGACGATTCTCAAAAGCTAGGTTACACGGCGACCGTCTTTGTCATTCTGAACAAGATGATTGGTACCGGTAGTATGTTCTCTTCACGCTCCTTAGCTTGGTTGGATGCTTACTTGTTACAGTCTTCTCGACTCCTTCCGGTATCTTCGCAGCAACAGGATCCGTCGGTGTGTCACTTTTCCTGTGGATTATTGGCGGCATTCTCACATTCTGCGGGCTATCCGTGTTTCTGGAATTCGGTCTCGCAATCCCACGTTCAGGCGGCGAAAAGAACTATCTGGAGCGCGTCTACCGTCACCCCAAATACGTTGCAACATGCGTTCTTGCTGCGCAGATGCTGTTGCTTGGATTTTCTTCTGGCAACTCTCTCGCTTTCGGTCGCTACGTGCTGTTCGCTGCTGGTTCGGAAGCACCCGATGGCTGGGCGGCGCGTGGTATAGCCGTCGCTTGTGTCACCTTCTCGGTCGGACTCCATGCCACGTTTCCAAAATGGGGTATCCGCCTTTTCAGCGTCCTCGGCGTTTTCAAGGTTTTCATACTGCTCTTCATTGTCTTCTCGGGTTTTGCTGCTTTGGCTGGTCATCTGAAGATCGAACAGCCGCACAACTTTGACAACGCATTCGCGCTGGAAGTCGGTGATGGCTATGGTGGCGGCGGTGCCTATGCATACTGCCAAGCTCTATTGCGTATCATTTACTCCTACAAAGGCTGGGAGAATGCCAACTATGTGTTGGGCGAAATTCGGAACCCGAAGAAAACCCTTGCCTGGTCTGCGCCCCTGGCAATTGGGGGGACTACCGTCTTGTACGTCCTCGCGAATGTGGCTTACTTCGCTGCAATTCCGAAATCCGATCTTGCGAAGAGTGAGGTGATTGTTGCCGGTCTCTTTTTCCGCAACGTTTTTGGCAACAGTGCTGGAGCGCGTAGTCTTCCCGCTTTCGTTGCCCTCAGTAATTTGGGCAACGTGCTCGCCGTCAGTTTTGCCCATTCGCGCCTCAACCAGGAGTTCGCAAAAGAGGGTCTACTTCCGTGGAGCAGATTTTGGGCATCAAACAAACCATTCAATTCGCCGGCGACAGCCTTGTTCCTACATTGGCTGATTACGGTCATCGTACTGCTTGCGCCTCCGGCTGGTCCTGCTTACAACTTCATCACTGATCTGTATACATACCCCGGTGCATGGATCAACGGCTTCGTCACTGCCGGTCTCATCTACCTACACTACTCGAAGCGCGAACGCTGGGAGTCGCCATGGCACACCTATCTTCCCATTGCCGTTCTCTATCTGGCCGCAAACATCTTCCTCG